GACTGCTGATCTACTAGTGAGTGTTTTTTACTCAGTCCACACACCTGGCTCCTTTTTCCTCCAAAAGCGCAGCAGCCCCACAGGCAGCGGTACATTTTTAAAAGATGGGTTGGACTGGTCTGTGGAGGTACAGAGGGAATTGCCGCATGGTGCCGGGCACTTGAGCACTGCTGTTCTCTCTCTCATTTCAGCCAAGGCTCAGGCTGTCCCACCTGCCTTGCACGCACGTGTCCCTCTGAGCTGCAGCAGTCATCCTTGTAGCCTCCAGTGCAGAATATGTTCGGTCCAAAGAGAGCAGAGGCTGTGTCAGGGAGAGAGAAGACCTGCAGCAGAGACTTCTAAGTATACTTCTCCTTTGGGTGGTGGAGTTTCTTTGGGCGCGCAGGACTACGATTTGTTCAAGCTGTCAGCCTCTCCCCATGGTATTTTCTCATAGGGATTTGTTGCTGCAAGTAATGATATAGACGGCCTCACCCTCGTGGTTGTTATGCTTGAAATTTGCCGGAACCTACAGATCTCACAAAGCAGCCCAGCAAGCAAGGAGCTGTTATTAGGCCGCGCAGGGCAGCGGGGTGCTGCCGCCTCCCTGTCCTGCTCAGCCGTCCCATGGGTGTGCGAGGTCCAGAGAGCCACCGGCTCGCTGTCCCGCTGCAGGGCCAGGGTGGTTTGGCAGAGGAGTTGACACCACCCGTGCCTGTGCAGGGATGACTCCCAGGCGTGCGAGTGTGATTCAAGGGGGTGAAATCATGGCTGTGCCCCTGGGTGCAGCGGGAGGGTGCAGCGCCCTTGCCGTCAGGGTGCTGTGCACGTGAGCAAGGTCATCCCCGGAGAAGCAGCTTCCACCTCGCTCTGCATCCATGTCACCCAGCCTCGGCGGTGCCCCGGGAGCTCCTTGCCCGCCGCGTGCTGCTCGGCACGGTTAGGTAGGGCTGCGCAGCCCCCGTGGGCAGGAGCAGCGAGGGAGCGGTACCCTAGCAGCTCTGAATGCCTGGCCCACCTGCGCCAGGAGCAGGAGAGGGTTGGCTTCGCTGCGACCCGCGTCTTGGCCACCGCTGTTTAATAAAGAACTTGGTCCTATACAGGCTTTTCAAAAGGTTTAGGGAAGCACAGGGGTGCAGCAGACAGAGCTGCAGCAGTTTGCAAACCTGCGTTTCACGGACCGGAAAGGCTGTTGCCTTAGAATATAAGCGCAAAATTGGTGAGGAGCTGTTACAAATATATATGCTGGCTGATAAAATAAATGTAGGTGATTTGTCTTTGTTCTGCACCAGCTTAAATACTTGCATCCCCTGCCATTGGCAATTTGTCTTGGTTCTTTTAAATTCCTAAGTGGATTATAATTTTTCTCGTGGTATTATTTGACAACAGTCATATTTCATGGCTTTACTGCATTCTTTGGATAGTTAGGATTTTTTTAAGGAAGGGAGCTCAGTAAGAGGCGGCCATCTCCAGGGCATGTTGTGTAATGCAGATGCTTGAAGACAGCTGAAAATGTTCTTTCTATTTTTATGTAGTTTTTATCCTCAGAAAATACATGATTTGACCTATGATGGTCTACAGGATTTAAAGCATGTTATTACCCCAATGCGGGATGCAAGTCCTTTAAATGCTGTAGCATGAGTAAATTCCTCAGCACATTATGTACTCCAATGACTCTGCAATACTCAGTCTAAAATAACAGTGAATCTTCAATACAATGAGGATGTTTTTAAGCTTTTCAAACACTAATGGGCTCAAAAATATAGGCATAAAACTTAGCTTCTTTGCTTTTATCTATGCATAAATTTCTGTCATGGAGTATGTTTGTATAAAAAAGGTAGAGATCATTTCAGTATCCATTTACCTTGCTCCTAATATTATATTATCATTTGTTAGTTTGTAGAAATATGCCATATCTAATTAGGTTAGTAATGATTGTACTTAGCATAGGAATTGCAGCAACATAAGGAGAGAATAATCACACATTGCAATATCAACATAAACATTTCTGTCCTAAGAATGTTGTCAGGTGATGTCATACCATCTGTCCTACTGTACCCACTTGGAAATTTTGCTGCAGCAGCATCTGGTACTTTGGCGAGCTCTGCAGACAACTGTGGTAGTTTTACAGCTGCCTTTAACTTTGCTTTTATATTTAAACAGTATTAAGATTTCATGCTCCATGTTCCTATAAATGTATTTGCTTTTACTAAAGTTTGGATACTGAGCAATTTGTATATTTTCCTGGTTGGCAGAATGAGGTACAGTGTGTGAATTGTCCTGGGAATTTGCAGTTGCCAAACTGTAAAACACAGCTCTCCCTTACTCTTTCACTCCACCTGCACCTTTGGGCCTGGGAGGACACTTTTCTGGGCGCAGGAGAACCTGAGCCCTCAGTTCTGTTCCTATAAAGTTGTTTTTATTTGTACAACCTGGAACAATTTGTACAACCTGGAACAACTCCAACAAAGACAACTGAGAGAAGACAATCCCAAAATAAGTAATAACACGGTCGCTAATGGTGGGGATGGTTTTTCAAGCCTTTACTCTGAATGAGGGAGAGCAGAGAGATGCTTTGGGACATCTCATATCCCCAGAGAGAGGACAACTGCTGGGCGCTCCAAGGCCGGCTACAGAAAGGGAAATGTTTCAGTTTAATTTTTCACAGAAGGCTGAAGCACTTACCTCTGCTGGGGAATTCTCATCATTCTCCTTGAAACATGGAGATCTTTGCCTGATTGCAGATAGCCTTCCGTTGATACGTTCACTGACCCAGCCCATGCTCTGTCCTCCTGCACCTCACCCCTTAGGAAAGCAACAGGAGCAGGTTTCTAGACGCCCTATCTTGCGTTCCAGGCAGTTCCCAGGTATACAGGGCGCTGGTACATTTTACTGAGCTCTAAGTTTTTCAGTAGACAGCAAGAAATGTTCAGCATGACTTTTAGTTATTTACTCACAGTACTGCAAGCTAAATACGTGATAACATTGTCCAAAAAGACCAAAAGTTGGAGCCATGGTGCTTTCTCATATTATTTTGTATTTTTTGTTTTGTTTGTTAAAATGCCTCCTTAGTCCACTTTTGCCCTTACTGCGTAAAGTAACATGCTAAATCTGACCACGGACGCTGTTACGGTAGGCACTCGTGGATGCCAACCAGTACAATGATTTCCTGCGTTGTGTGTAAGTGATCAATGTGCAAGCTAGACCAGCGCTGGATGAGGGCTAGCTTGCACACGTTCAGGGGTACACTCACTCCTGCATGCATGCATTCAGCTCCCCACCACCCATTTATTTCTCTGCCGTGCCTGTTTTCCTCTTCAAGGTAGAAACAGCTTCTTCAAATCAGCTCTGCCCCTTTTGAGCTCCACATGCACTAAGTAAAGGCTGGGCAAGTTTTTCCACTTGTGCACAGAAGAAGCTGGGATGGCATTATTTTGAAAGAGAGCTGCAAGGAAAATCCATGGAACCAGTGCTCTCAGACTTGGACTTGCTTGTGCAAACACCTTAATAAAGTGTTATGCTTTCCTTTTTCCTTCCACAAGATTAAAAAAGAAATACAACCCTGTAAAAAGCATGGAACGTACCTCATTTTTGGCCCCACACACAGATGAGTGTTCTTTGATTCTCAATTCAGATTTCACTGTGCTAGATGATTTTTAAATACATTTCAATTTAATTTCCTAAGTGCAGAAATCTAGCCAGTCCATTTCCTTTTCCCCAGAGTTTTGGACATCTGCTAGGGAAGACTCCGCTTACACCGAAGGAAGGCTCTGAGTGGATGCCCAATTAATTTAGATTTGTCATTTCAATTTGTTGATTCGGCAGGTATATTGTAAACAAAATAGCTTGAACGAGGTCTGCTTTGGGGTTTTAAATATTTTATTTGTGCTTAGCTTTTGGGAATTGCTCCTTATATACAGCATCTGTTCCATATGACAGGGTTTTCTAGTGTTCATTGACTGCATATCAGCTTCCCTTTAATTGACTTAGCAAAATGTTTTGTGATCTGCATGGTTAAAAACCCCAATGTTTAATCCTGCCAGTTTTGAGCTCCTTCAGTCTGCTCACACGACACTGTGAGCCACTGATTGACTAGCGGAGGGTGGTTGGGATTCATCCTGCCACCTTCCTTTCAGGTGCTGGAAGGTGCTCTTGTCTTGGAGAAATGGCAGCCCCTAAAAAGCCGTACTGGACTCAGTAGGGGGCTGCTGTGGACTTCACTGGCCAAGGATTTCCCTCAGGCGGGAAGGGGGTTGCTGAGGTGATTCCCGTGATTATAATAAGGTGCGATGGGATGAAGTTAAGAGATAGGAAATTGAAGCTGAATGTGTTTTGGCAGAGATGGTCGTCTGTGGAGTTAGCTCCCAAGGGGAGTGGTAAAAATTTGTCTCTAATATTACATTGGCCAAAACACTGGAGGACATACAATGAGGACCACTTCTGTAGTAACAACAACACAGAGTAACTGGCCTTCTTGTTATTCTGGGGTTAAAAGAAAATCCCTTCCATTGCTTTTAGTTGTGGCATTAGCATATGCTATTGATAGAGGTTCAGGTTTTTTTAATAGACAAACAGGAGGTGTATATGTGTGGGCTCTGCGGCACTAGCAGAGATTCAGGCTCCGAGGACATGGGACATTAAAACAGATGGTTTAAAGGGGCAGAAATGGGCTTTGCTCTTGAGCATGTGCATCTTATTATGCTCTGCGAAGGGCTCTTTATCACCGCGCTGCTGCTGGGTCTTTCAGTGTAAATTACTCCCTAGAAGATGACCATGTTGTGTGGTTTGCAGTAGGGACATAGGTTTTTTTGATGTTGACCCTTGTTCACAAGGGGCTATGACACTCTCACTAAAGTTGTTCATGGAAATCATACTGCAGAAAATCATAGTCCCAGGAGTAATGTGCAAGTCATTTAATCCATCAAAGCACACTACCCTCCACAGGAGCACACGCAGACCTGTGCCTTAATAAACCTCTGCACTTTTTGTACAGCACTGATTTTCCTCTTTCTTTCTTGCAGTACAATAAACACCTCTTCGTACACATTGGACACGCTAACCATTCTTACAGTGACCCGTTGCTTGAATCGGTGGACATTCGTCAGATTTATGACAAATTTCCTGAAAAGAAGGGCGGTCTAAAGGAACTGTTTGGGAAGGGGCCCCAAAACGCTTTCTTCCTCGTAAAATTCTGGGTGAGTAAGACATGACATGGAGAACCTCTCTTGTCGATAAGGCCTGTGTTTAGTAGTTAGCACCCTTTGGGGTGCTTGTGGAAATTTCTTCTGTCATCATTTAAAAGTGCAAAGCTGTATATCCTTCAGGTAGGACGCTGGCCCAGAGCCGCTCTTGTTGACAGCTCCACAAGAAGTCTGCGTTGCAGACGACATGCAAAGGCAGATGCGTACCTCAACTGTGCTTGACACAGCTGCTGAGCAGGAGCAAACAGGTAACAGAGCCCTGGTTTGTAAATGGGGAACTGCCATCTAGTGGTCCAAGAAAAAACGGGGAAGCCGCCTGAATGGAGCCTGCTTTTTAGTGTTTCAAACGTTGAACGCTTGCCAAATGCAAATAGTGCAAGTATCAGTCCTGCCATCAGTCCACACTTATGCAGATAGGGCCAAGTAGGATTTGAACCGAGTGTGCAGCGGGACAACTGTGAGCCTGGGAGGGTTCCAGGGTTTTTCTTAAACATTTTTTGGTTGCTAGAGCACATGTGCTTTCCCCTTGCCTTTTTGTTAGTCAGCCATGGGACTCTGCTCCAAAAGTTATATCTGTTCATATCAGTCGTGAGCAAGAGTGAAAAAAGAATTTGAATGGAAGGCTGAGATGTTGTATATTGATCTAGTTTTGATAAATTTCATTGATATATCAGATTTTTATTACTGCATTTACAAAATCTCATGTTAGTGATGTTATAGGTTTGTCTAAAAGGATCATCAAATCTCCAGGCTGGATCTTATGCTTACGCTAAAGCTTCTTCTACTCATTAATTTGTTGGGGTATTTTTTGTGGTACGCTCCTTTTCATAGCAACGGTTATCATCCAGACATTCTAAACTTGTCTTTTAAAACCTCAGTGAAAGGGCCATAGTCAGGGCCTAATTACAGGGTGGACAGGTTGATGCTGAAACCAGAAAAGGATGATCTGGAATCACTGTTTATGATCAGATTTCCTGGTGTTTATGGCTTTCAGTTAGTTTACCTGTGACCTGAAATCCTTTCCACCTTGTACATACCTCAGCCTTTATATCTTGCCAAGAGTTTCTGTGGCACCAGATTTGGAACTGGAAAATGGGAGTGAGGGAGACCCTTTTCTCAAATCTGGGTGTAGAAGGAATAAACCACTGAGCAGGAGCTGTGCAGGACTGCAGAAGAAATCCATTGAGAAATGCATGGGGCTTAAAACTGGGTGTGGAACCTGTAGACCAAGCATTTGAGGGCTGGTTGAGCAAAGAGGCCAGGAACAGGAGGCAGCAGAGAACTGGGAGCTGAAACACAGCAGGCAACAGGAGCCTGGAAAAGGCAGATGAGAACGTAGGGTCAAAAAGAGGGAGGCAGTGGGAAGAGGGAGCATTTGGGATAAGGAGCCTGCAGGGAAACGTAGGGATGAAGGCACACAGCAGAGACAGGTGTATGAGCGGTGGGAACAGGACAAGCGTAAGGGCAAAAGAAATCTGGCTGCAGCGGAATAGGGCTTGGAGGTTAAGTGTCTGTGACCACTAAATACATTTCCTTGCAAAACTTGGTCTTGAACTGAGGACCATCATCTCACCAATCCACTTTGCATAATAAATACTTGCAAAACCCACTGGCAAAATGAATGCCACCTCACTTGCCTGTTTGCAGTTCTCAAAGAGAATGCCAAGCCTCAGACTTTATATTAGCGATGGAAGCAGCAGAGGTTTGTGATAGGGTCATTGATGTATGTGTATTGTATGTTCTGCTTTTTCTCCATGTGGAAACTGATTTTGAGGCGTGCTGAATACTCAAAGATGTAGCAAAGCAAGTAGAGATCTTCTTTGGATCATTCAGGTCTGTATTGGACTCATGACGTTGAAAATTCAAGTGAGTTTCCTCTGCTTGTTCACCTACAAGCAGTGCACACCTTTAACACCCTTGCCTCCGTTCCCCATCTGCAATATGGGGGTGGTAGCATCCCTTCACCTCAGGTGGTCACTGAGAAATCAAACTCATGGCTCTTTCGAAAGCATCAAAATAATGCTGCGAAGCAAACCTTTATAAATTAATAATTCTGTGTTCAGCACAGGTTTTGAGTAGTGTGCAGGAAATAGGGACTGGGCCATGCTGAATAAGGACGACAAAGAAATATTGTTATGGATGCTCAGAGGGCAAATGTGCAGTCGTGTAGCTAAAGACTGTATCATGATGCAGTTCAGCAGTCAGGATGTGCAGGCAACTTCAACATTTCCTAACCTCACTGTGCCTTCTAACATAATGGTCTTTTAATAAAATTTGTGTTGTATTAACTTGGAGATTAAAAAACATACAGTGCTAACATCCTTCTGAGTTATATATTAAAAATGTGGTCAGAACGCCTTCCTGAGCCATGACCTTAAAATAAGCCATTTTCTCCCTCATAGGGGGAGCGAGGCAGAGGGAAGGTGCCAGGGGCAGTGTTTGGATGTAGCGAGAGTCACAATGAATGCCCTTCTAGGAATAAACTTCATACCAGTGCCCCTCAGCTAGAAGTATGTATAGGAAAAACAGAAGATGGCTGTGTAATTAGTCACGAGAATTAGATCCTAAACTGTCAGCACACTATCCTTAATTTCTTTCACCCCAGTAGGATATTTCTTGAGAAAAAAGGACGTTGTTCCCATGTTTATGGGAAGTGTTGAGAAACTGTTCTAAACAGTCATATATTACCAGTGTAAAGCTGGTAAAGGCTGCTGACAATCTTTTTGAACATATTAGTAACTTCAAGTTTATTAATATGAAAATAGATTAATTTATATATTCTTATTCTTTTCTTTTAAATTAAGTACCCACTTCTGAATCAGTATCCACTCTCTCTTTATCATCTGCTACCTCCTCCTGCTCTGAAAGTTCAACTTCTCCCAGGTTCTGTTCATGTTGCGTGGTTATTGCTTACTCACAATACTCTCTCTCACCCTTTATTTAACCATTCCCCCTTTCTCATCCTTTCTGTTGTCTTCTCCCTTCATTATCATTTAACCATCGATGGTTTGCTTAGGGCTCTAAGCTACTGAGCACACCCTAGCATCAGTGTCCAGGGACAGTCCACGTTTTGGTGGAATTTGAGTGCCATGTGAGTAAAAGAGGGCTATGAATTTGTGTTGGGCAAATAAGTACAGGTGAGAAAGCACTGCAAGGAGAATCAACAAAAGAAAACCAGGGACTATGACTGAAAGGAGTTCAGGGAAACTAGAGAAGGAAAGCAGGTGGGTGTCATGGCATGTGGAAGCTTGAAAACGAAGGTGAGGATCTGATGCCAGAAGGGATGGTGAGCCTGTAAACAGATTTAAAGAGAAGTCAGCCTGGCAGCAAAAAAGGGTATTTTGTTTAGACATTGAATCTAGTGTGGAAAGCAAAGATGGGAAACAGGAATACCAGAGACGAGCACTCGCACTGACGATGACTAAGGCAGAAAGTGGCTTAGCTCTGGCAGCTGGAAAGAGTACTCCTCTTGCTCTTTCCCATTTAGTTCTGCTTGAGGCTTCTCAGCAGCATGGTTTTCCCTCTGATCAAGGTAATAAGGTTTGATTACAAAAAAGTGGGAGGGAAAGGTCTGAGATTTTGCAAGAAGACATTTGGCAATTGTGGAGTTGACTTCGCAAAGCATCACAGGTATGGAGTACAAAGCAAAGTGTTGCTTTGCTTTGCAAAGGTTTATCAGTTCCTACAGATTGTATCTCCTGAGAAATACAGCCTGGTGCTGGGAATGGATGAGCTACTGGCCTCAGTCCTGGTCACACATCTGGACATCACACTTTTGGGCCTCTTCCTACCTAACAGTGCAGGAGATATGAAAGGAAGAGACTTCTCCTTTTACACCACTTCAGCCAACCAATCTTACAGCCCTGCAAAGCACTTTCCAGGTCCTAGTCTTGCACCTTGAATGCAGCGACTCTGTTCTTCTGTTTATCCCAGGTAGTCACTGGGAACCAGAGAGTTCAGGGAAGTCACCCCAGAGACAGGCTTTTACAGCAATAGATAGAAGGAGCTTTACTTGGTATGTTTTGCACTCAGTACAATGAGTAAATAAGGAAGAGCATACTAATGATATGGCACAGGAAATTTGTGTGACGATGATATGAAACCGGAGATTACAGGGATATAAAATGAAAACAAAAATAAACGTTCTTAAATTAATGTAAAAGTTATTTGCTAGAACACTGATGAGGAATTCAGACAAGGCTGCAGAGTATCTGCAGCTGAAACCTTTCCCCAGGTGCAGGTTGAGTGCACAATCCTGCTTCTGTTACCTTACTCACTAGCAAAATAAGACCAATCTATGTAAAGCAATCAGATATGATTCATACCACCTAATCTTAATCTGAGTAAGGTCAACATACCTGTTGGTTAGTTTATACTTGAACTGTTTTTGTGACTTTAGAAAAGCACCAAAGTTTTTTGGTCTTTGAAGTCCTGATTAGCCTATCTAAAAGGTAAGTGAATGTGTGTTGCTTCTATTGGTTTCTTTTATTGGTTGAAGTTCTACTCATATTGATATCTAATGCTATCCCCACTGACTACTCGCTACTATTTTTAAATTATCTAATACTAAATAATACACTTAGGCCTCCTGAAAGAGTTCAAACTAAATGATAGGTCACACCTTCAGCTTTACCCCAAAATGTCTGTCTAAAACATTATTGCTGGCCTTGCCTTCTTGGCCCCCGATGCTGATTGCCCAGCGCTCTGCCACCCCTGGGTCTCCACTTCTCTTGCAGGAAGTTGACGGTGCATCCATCCCACTCACACCATCTCCCTTTTGAATCCAGTATCTCTCAGCCGCATCTCCAATACCTTCATTTTGACTCTTGTTCTGAGCGCGTACATCTCCATTGGCTCTGGCAAGGGAATTATCTAGGAAGGCACAAGTCATTATGTCCCTTTATGCCCCTGCTAGCTTCGCTAGCCCTGTAACTTGCCCCTATCTAGCACTAGTTCATCTGGCAAACACTTTTCACTACTAGGAGCACCTTTGA